AGTCCCAGCTAGGGGACTCACCAGCTCTGTGCTGGTGCTGTGCAAAGAAACCACAGGAAAAGCACTGACCAGGATGCCTGGGAAACTGGATGCCTGGAAGCAGCCAGCACGCAAAGCAGCTCATGCAGGCCATCAATAGCGGGGCACAGGCTCAACTGATTTTAAGCTGACAGTCTGAAATGGGCTGTGGCGATACCTCCCCTCCACCCAATTTCTCATTAACGGGGCACTGAGGATCTCAATCAAATTCCTCACAGGTAGCACAGTCACCGTATTTATTTCCCTTGTTGGCAATCTCGGCAAACAGGCCGAGAGCCGCAGAAGCCGCCTGCCCGTCATGTGCATGAGGTCTCACGAGGTCAGTCACAGCACATCAGCCGGATGCCAAGGGGAAGCCACAAGCTTTCCCCTCATGGCCACTCAAACCATGGGGTGATTTTATGATTACTCATTCTACAAATGGTTCCCTTGGACATATACTGGGTTAAAACATGGAAAATACACCTGAAAGATGTTTGGTGTGAAAACCCCATCTTACCCAAGTTTAAGATATTCTGATCCAGCCAGCAGTGCGCAACATGTCCAGCGGGCTAATTTGTAGCTGTTGTTTTTCAGCTCTGTGGCAATCACAGCTCCTCTCTGAGAGTCAAGCTTCTGGCGCCAGTCTACTCCATTGCAATACTGAGAGGAGAATCAAAACTAGGGTCAACCTAACAAGCCAGCAGCAGTCCTCTCTCCTGCCATCTTGACAACACGTAAGGAAGTTTCTTCTGTCTACCTTACGATACCGCATGGGGGAATGCAAAGAGCAACCTAGAGGGAAAGCCCCCGCACTGGAAAGGGAGAAAAGCAAACAGCGGGGATTGGCCAACATCTGTGGCACTGGTTACAAAGGGAAGTTTGTTAGGGAAGCGTTGACGAGGGGAGCATGGGAACAGACTGGCTACTGGGCCAAACACCTGGGGACAAGAGGGTTCAAAACAGCCACCTCACATCTGTGAGAGAACCCCATCAGCACTACTTGTCCACCAAAGTTATGGGCCTTTGGTGGAACTTAACCACCCCGAGGACACCGCCAGATCTTTGTCTCATCTTGCCTGCTGTACCTGGCATGTCAGGCAGCAGTGAAGCAGTTAGAGCTAGCTTTGGGATCTCGTTCTTCCTCACCCTGGAATCCCACTCGTTCAGTGTTTTGATGTTGATGAAAGACACTTCTCCATTTGCTCCTGTCATCACACCATCATGTTCACAGCGGACAATGAGATCTATATCATCTCCCAGCTTCCACCTTCGGTATCTGCCAACAAACAATCCAGCTGGTTATTTCGGACCCTTGTTCTCTTCCAGATCCATGCAAGCACTCAACAAAATCCTCTCCTCCTCTATCTGTTCACTGTGAGGACATCCAGGAATCCCTCTCATGATAAAGCTTCTATCAATAATACTCCTGACTCATTTTGCCCCTGTATCACACCGACATCCTGCCCCCTTGCCAAACCTGAGCATCACAGAGAGATCAACATACCTGTATGCAACAGAGGCTACTTCGTTTTTATCCATGTCGTCCTCCACAAAGGGGTTTGGGTTTGGAAACTTGTATTTCTCCTTTCCCTGCAGAAGAAAACAGAAGGGCATGTTAGGGGAAAAAAAAAAGAGGGAACTCTCCCCTACTGGATAAATATTCTCTTATAGCAACAGTAGCTAATTTCCCTTATACAGAAAAACGCTAAAATATTAAGACAGCTGACGAGAAGCCTCATCTTCACATTAGTCACTTCACTGTAAGCAGTACTTCTACTGGCACTTCAGCTTCACTAAGTGTACTCGGAAGCCCGTCTGCTTCACCAGTGGGAGTGGGATTCCTTCTTTGTGGAATAAAGGTGAAAATCTTTCTGCAACAAAATCACACTGCTCACCAGAAGTAATCCCACCTCTTTCAAAACCAAAAGCACATCAGCGTAACATACCTCTGTCAATTAAAATGCTTCTGTGCTGTATTAAAGCAGCCTTAACAAAGCCTCTCCTTGATGACACACAGACCCTACTACCCAGCGCTGCTCAACCTTACCATCCTCAGACACTGCTGGGAGAAGTTGTGATTGATGTAGGTAGCTTCCATGGCAAGGTTGCGCGGAGAATTAAAGGAGTTGCCCTCTTCCTGTGGTGGTTCATTGGCTGTTTCACTCACTGTCAGGAGGTCTGGGAATAAAACCAGACACAAGTGGTTATGCTCAGGGGAGTAACTATTTCAGCTTCAGTGAGTCTCTAGCCCCACTTTGAAGCAGATCAATATTGAAGTTACCCCACAGCTAGCACAGTAATCAGCTTGTTCCAGATGTCTCAGTCTGGACACCAAGACACAGAATAAACTCAAAAAACCCCATAAAGAAAACTAGACTCTCTAGCTACCATAACAGCAATTTCTTTAAGGCCTTTTCCTCACCAAAATCGGAATTGTCCCTCTTGTCAAAGAAAAGCTTGGATCCAACTCTCTGGACAATGATGTCCCAGGAATAGACAGAGCGAGTGCAGCTCATCAGTGTGGCCAGGATGGCATCTGTGGCAAATACATTCCCTTGGGTCTTTGCCAGCTATGGATACAGGAGGAAGAGAAAAAACTGTGTTTCAGCAACAAGAGTCGTCACTCCTTCCCTTCCCCATCCAAGAGCAGAAGTGTTAGCAAACCAGATCATTAACCTCTCCCACGCTGAGGAAGCTAGACTGGTAGGTACATCAGCAATTGCTAGACAAAGTGTGAGGTACTGCCCAGCAATCCAGGCCCACCTTCACCCAAACAAGGAAAAAGCAAGAAACCCACTACAAAACGTGAATTCTGTTGGGAAAACACATGGCTCCTTATGGCTGATCTGGTCAGAGAAAGAAATCTCCGAGCCTTCTTCATCTCCAAAAGCTGAAACCTCAAAAACCAGGTCTCTGAAATGAAAGTTTCTTTCCCAGCACAGATCAAGTGCCAGTCTGCTTGCCTTTCCAGAATTACAGCTTTTCTTTGGCCAGTATTCCTAGTTTTGCATCCATCTAGCTCTGCCCAGGACCTAAGAAAAAATGACACCAGCTAATGCTTCTTTTCCTTTGCAGGCTTAGGGACCTGCAATTTTTCTGCCCTTAACTCTGGTCTGACGGTGACAGCTGGTCTCTAACAACAGCATGCACCGAGAAACACACTATTGGGTTTTACAAACGAGTAAACATACTTTTCGGATAACTGGGTCATCAGTAGTAGTGACGGTATGGAAGATGCGCTTAATGCTCCTCAGTAGTTTCTCATTCCTTGTTGTAATGCGGTCAAAGGCTTTGTCGTAGTACTCTAGGGCTCCACAGCACTCTCTGCAGAGGTAAGAGGACCATCTTGATACCCCCACTACAGGTAACACCACCTACACCACCCCACTACAGATACACAAACCACATGGGACTGAGGGGCCTGTTGGACGTTCCATTACGTCCCCCTGCTTTGGGTACCTCAGTGAGAACACTGGGACCAGGCCAGGAGACCCTCGCCCTCCTGCTTTCCAAAAATCCCGTCAGTTCAGGAAGCAAGTGCACGGCTGCTTCAGGAACTTACATGTCCTGTGGCTCTGACACCTCCAGGTAGCGCATCTTCATCAGCCGAGGAAAATCCATCTCTTCTTTCACCTCCCAATCACTGCGAACTTCAACAGAGGAGTCACGAGGCTTCTGCTGTGCAGCCAGAGGTAGGACAGATAGAGAAGAGAAACGGAGACACAGCACATCAGGATTTGTGCAAGAGGAGCTGCCCTGTGAGCGCAGCCAGAGAACCCAAACCAATGCACGGGGCAGAAAGCTTGCTAGTTTACCTGTGATTTTTGATCCCATTTCTGTCTCACTCCAAACTGCTTCTGAAACTTCTTTTGTAGGCGCAAACGATCTCTAAAATGACAAATATGAGAAAACCTGTAAGAGAAGTTCTGTGTTCCTACGTGCCACAACCATTCCTACACTTCCAAATTACTACCAGAGGAGCAATGCTTTTAGGCACCAAGCCACTGAAACATTTGTTGAGCTGTCTGTTGATCAAGATGCTCAAGGCATTAAAAGCTCTGTTCTTTACTCTGAGCAGCTCTTTAAACATTTTCATCTCCAAAGACTGCAACGCAGTTTCCAGAAAGGGCACGCTTTGCTCTAAAATGGCCTGCACAAATCCTTCTTAGTTCTTCCATAGCTGTTTGAAACCCATGCTTATAACTACTGGTGACATCAGCAGAACATCAGACTTGAAATCTCCTGAAATTCTTCTTTGCTGACTGTTCGCTCTAGTGGGTTCTGTTACAGTAACTTAACAAATTTATCAAGAGTATGTTCACACACTCCAACCCAAGTACGGTACGCTCATATCTGCAGCCTCACCTCTCCTTCTGCTTGGCACTCTTTGGCAGCGTCTGCATGCTGAACTGCAACATGTTCCGACGGTCCTTGTCTCTCCGAAGGTTCCTCTGCAAAAATGAAGTGAAGGAAAAAAAAAAAAAAAAAAAAAAAAGAACATTTTAGTTCCAAAGTAATTCCATGCTGCTGAAGCTCTCCTTTGAGCCTGTTCGTGAAAACACACGTTACCTGTGCAAATCGCATACGGTTCCTCTGGTACGCCGTCTTCTGTGTTCGTGCTGTATCCACCAGCTGGAAGCTAGTCTCATCCTCCTCATGGAAATATGCATATTGACTTCCGCCACCAAACTGCGACGAGTACTTGTCTGGAAATAAAACAAAGCATCTTGACACCAAGCTCCTAGGAAAAAAAGACCCAACACTTTGCCCCCTTCTCCCCCAAAATTCCCTCCAACTGCTTTCACCTAAGTCCGATGCATAAATTGGGACTCCTGCTTTATGCCAGTGTGTTTCCTCCCCACTCCAAGCCTCCCTGAGAAGCCCCAGTCATGAGGCAGTACAAAAATCAGGAGTAAGCCCTAAGGACAGGGAGAGCCCCATGGAGCTCTCCCAAGGGTGAGGCACGCTTCCTAATTTAAGAAGCCTCTCTTGCTGAG